CAGGTAAAAAAGATAAGTCCTGTGGCAGTACACATCTTATCCGTTGTATTTTCTTCTCTTTCTTTTTCCCATGACCAAATAACTGAATTTCCAGAATAACTTAGTAGAATTTTCGTTCTTAAGTTGTTTTCATCATTCCAGAGCAGTGTAATTTGTAGTTATAATTAATTATTAGGCATTGCCATATCTGTGAAGTTGTCTGTTGAATGTTTGGTGCCAAACCAATGAGTCTTAGGACTAGTTGTACTTCTTGTTGTTTAGACCCACCACTTTACATGGTGGCTATCTGTCTCATCACCAACGACTATGTTGCAATCGCATGCCCAGTGCCAGGGGTCCGAGACAGGTTCTCTTTGTGGGGAAGTCCTTGTCTTCTTATTTTCTTAATCAGTTATGCTTCTAACCAGATTCATTTTAAGCATACAAATCCATGGAGTATAGATATTTTTGTAATGTGATTTATGTGGTTATGCTACATTATGATGAAAGATAAACTAGTTGATTATAGGCTAATTTGTTTTGGAGGATCCTATGAGGGTCCTGCATAATTCAACACATCTGTTGTCTACCATGTGCCTTAACTTTTGAGAAACAAGAAACCCCACAGCCCCCACCTACTAATCCAACATTACTGTTAAATACGAGGGCTAACTTTACTGTGGGGTATTAAGCCAATAAGGAAACCTTCTCGACTTTTATGAGTTCATCAAATGCTTATTTAGAACTGAAAGCTTGAGGGAAATTTTTCAGTTCAGATGTTATTAAATCATATCATCAAACTGATTGTCAGCTTTTAAGGATGCCACTGTGAGCCGTCTGCTGATAGGTCTAAATCACTTGACGCACTGCACTTGCTGTGCGAATTTGTGACCCATGTCTAATGGACTCTCAACTCGGACCGGATGTTCCCTAAAAGCGTTGGTGGATTACCAGTTCAGGAACACTGCATTTTTTCAGTTTGGTGTTTGAAGTTTTTCATTAGTTTCATCTGTGGACCAATTCTCTTCAAAGAGATTGGCTCCACTATGTCCATAAACAAAGCAAAATCGGTTGATGTGATATGCAGAAACTTATTGGTCCAGTGGCAATCTTAGGAATTTCAGCAAAAAGCATAGAAATTTAGGTGGAACCTGTGATATACTAACATGCCCCAGGCCAACAACTGAACTGAGAGTCTTGAGTTTGAGTAGGTTAATGTATAGTTTTTTACTGCTGTCCAACCTTGTGTGTAGGTTTCAATTAACTTAGATCAACATTCCTGTTCTTATGCAAGTCGTAAATTATGCTTAGTTTAGTTGTATTTCTATACTGCGTTGTCCCCATAAGTATTGTTTGATTCTCTGGGCTGCTTATATTCTGTCCACTATAAAAATAGAATTTATATACCTTGTGAGGGATAATGTTGTTACCTTGTCTACCAAGTCAAACATTAAAAGAAACAATAAAAATAAGGCAGTATGGAAACACTACCATGTGCTTCAATTTACCTTCATTTTTTCCTTGTTTATTTGTTGTTATTTCCTTGTGTTGTTTATTTTATGTGATCACATGGTAAGCTTATCTTCTCAGAGGATCCTAGGACATTTAATTATGCTTAGTTCTGCATCATAAAGACAAAATTTATCCATTTAATCTTTGCCTTATAGTTGGTGAACCTCCAATTCAGTGCCTTAATATGTCAGCTTCCTATGAGGAACAGTTTTAAATAATTTAGTACCAAACTCGTTCTAGCCATATTTGATCTATATGACAGAGTTTTTTGTTTTAAATGGCCTTAACCTCACAAAACAAGCAAATTTGGCTATTGTACCTCTTAAAATTATTCTGCATTTGAGCTGCAGGAGGAGCTCAAAATGGATTTGTTCTGTGCTCCAAACTTTTCCAACTATCAGTCATCTGTGGTGACCAAAAAATGACTGGCCACTTGCATGTTCTTGATATTACAGTTTGTTTGATTTAAAGAAAAGCTATAGAGATTCTGCCTCGGCTAGTGCCTCGGCATTTAGTTTTCTAAATTGCAAATCACCTCATTTCACCTAAACTGCATTCCTCATATAGCTATAAACATAGATGCAGAATATCAGTTACAAGTGCTTGTCATATCCTGTTTTTGATTTTAAAAGTTTCAGATACATCTTTGGTTTTATCAATATGATAATTTTCGTAAAACTGATGATAGTAGCTTTTGGTTTTATGATTGTCATTTCTGATGCAGGTTTGCAAAACCACATTCTGCCATTCTGATTTTAAGCTTGTCTAAATGTTGTGTTTGCAGATGACTGTATATGCCAATGGTGTTTCTGTGTTGATGCCTGGAGATGACATCCCTACTTTCATTGCGCACCCCGCTCCAGTCCCTTGCCCTCCAGAACGCATTTCTTGGCCACACCATCAACATCACCCTTTGTCCAATTCCACCATTAACTCAAATTCAAACTCAAGCTCTATACAAGAAGACTAATACCCGAGAAACGGCTGCATGCTACATTTCAAGTCATATTCCTGATGACTAAAGGAAAACTATTTGTGAAGACAAGCAAGGATGTTGGATATGCACTAGGTGTTGCCTTTTTTCAACTTTTTCACCCTTGTGCTATTTATGTTTTGTACATAGCATTAGTTATTGATGGGTGGCATGTCTGAAACAGAACCAGGCTTCCACCTAGAGTCAGCTATATGTTCAAAAATTTTCCAGTATGCGGTTGCATAATTATGGTCTTCTGGAGCCATCAAATGGATCACTCTACATGTAAAAAAAATGAAATTGTGGAGTATAATTCTGATTGAGTTCACATCTTCTCAGTTGCTTGGTGAAAGAAAATTGATGCAGAAGAATTGAACTCAAAACTCTCATTATGAAGCTTAATTGGGGTGCTTAACTTAACAGGATAACTTTTGAGGAGCATTATGTTTATTCACTTGGGAAAATATCTGCCAACATCTAAGTAATAATGGATGATAACCCACTAAAGGCATGGCTACTCCTCTAATTAAGACAATTTGTTTAGATATGTTAGAAGAAACAGTAAATAAATGCAGGCTAGCAATGATTCAATATGAATATAAATGTAAAGATAAATTAAATTGAAAAGGCTTAAACATGTGATTTGACGATGATAATCAACAAATCAAGTTTCAGTTTTCAGGCACCCCTTTTTCCATAACTTGGGCCTACGCAGCTAAAATGGCTTTGGCAGAAGCAAGATCAAGCTGATGGAATGGAACAACTTTTAACAAACATGCCGAACATGACAATACAATAAACATTGCTCCTTGTTTGTTCAATAGTCACTAAACTATTTTACTTCATTCAATTCATATTCACTCAGTAGTGACTTGGGACAGTCTGTCAACAAGTTAGTTGTTGGATAAAATATAAATCAAAATTAATCATTTTATTTTATCTATTCATAAATAGTCATTCATGAATTTTGGTCCATAAAAACATTGATAATTAATGTATATTTATAAAATAATATGATACGTTTGGGTTTATGTGAATTAAAATGAATATTCATTTATGAAAAAGTCAATGCTTTAATAACCAACCCACAGTGAAACCCAGCAAAGTGGTCGGGTCCTAGGTTGACCAACGGGACAAACTGCTATTCAAAGGTTTGAAATTCAACAAAAATACCCTTAAAAAATTCAACGGGACAAACTGATATCTTGCAACACCCCAAATACCATTGCCAGTGTCGACAACCCAAGCCAAATAGGGCATATTTTCAACGACGACAATACTCTCCATCACTACGAAAACATTCCCTTCAGCCTTCTGACCAAAACCCATCTCACCCCTCTCCTATTCAATCTTCTAATCGTCGGCAACAGGTCGCTATGTTGGTCGATTGATTTTTGCCTTTTCCAATCTATTCACTCATTGCAAATCACTCCCTTCACCACCTTTGGACTCATCAGAACTCCCTCTCCAAAAGTCCCAACATAATTGCCGTTATATGCTCGCCGATCACCGTCTCTAATTCTAGGGTTTAGGGTGAATAGTTAAAAATGATAACTCGCTTAGCAAAGGCCCTGGGTCTGGATTTAGCCAACCAGGCCGGGTATCAAAACACTAGAAAAAACTATATAAAGCCTCATTTGATTTGTTGAATATCTTCAAATTGTTAGAAATTAAGTTCACAAAATAAAATTATTTTTATAAAATAATAATTATAAATGAATTACTTGGCCCAATAGTGCCTCACGTCAGGTCCATTTGTTGTCTCACCACGATCAAACCCATCACCCAGATGGTGAAAAATTGGAAAGAGTCTTATCAACACCATGACTCCACCTCAAATTTTGAACTTTGAATTTTGGAACCTTCTTGATTCTTCACTTGATCGCATCTGAACAAGCTTACAAATTTATCCTTTGTTTATATATAAATGAAAAGGAAACAGTCCAAAATTAATCAATAACGGCTAATTACTAAAAAATTAGGACCACTCGATACCCAATCAACGTCTTCAACATCTGTTTCCCTCCATCACACTCAAAATTTCAATTCCTCATCCAATATCAAATTTTAATTTTATTCAGAAAAAGTGTTTTCAGAAGTACCAAAAAACATTTTCATATCAAAACGTAAGGCAGCCAGCTATAAACAAAAAGTCACGAGACATAAAAGACTGGCGGCAATAAAAATCATCACCTCTTTTCGGTTACCCATTAAATATTTGGTGAACTTGACATGAAAGTAAACTTTTTTCTATTCAGCTTAACAAAAAAGCTGAATCCCCAAAGCCTCTGCAAATTATGTCACTTTAAGCTCATTGCTTCAATTCCAGTACACACCAGTGGATCCTTTGTTTAATTTGATTTGATTTCATTCTTTCAAATTATAAACGCAATCTTTCACCTCGATTTTGCAGAGAAGATTGCTTATGTCATAACGTGTCCAAGTAGCTAAAAAATTGTCCTCTGACTTCATAAATTCACATAAAATACAAAACCTAACAAAATAAAATAAAATAAAAAAACTGAAGTAGGTAGAATTTATTAAATTCATCATATCTTTACAGAAAAATGAAGCATTCTAGGGAGACAAGTGGGTTTTCAAGTGACTCATTCGTACTTGAATTATTATTATTATTATTATTACTCGGCCACCTGTTCTCCATTTTACTAGGGCTTTCAGTTTGTCTACTATTATTATTGCTACCATTTTGACCCGATTCATTCTTCGACCGACCCGGAGACTGGTTTGTTCTTCTTGCAGATGGGCTCCGACCCATTGCTGCAGATCTAGTTGAAGCCGGTGATCTGGACCTCCTTCCGGAGCTTTCACCCGGGTCTCTCCTTCCTCTTCCTAGTGATTGATTCAGAACCCGACCCGGTTCTTCTCTGCTACTCTGGACCAGCCTCACTGACCCGGGCGGCTTTCTTTTACCCGGTGAATGCTCGAATCTTCGGGTGGGTGACTGAGCCACAACCCGGTCTTTCCTGACCCCGAAATCTCGCTTCCTTTGCGGTGGCAACTTAGCTGGAGATCTACTGTTCCTCATTCTGTGTTGTTGCATCACTTCTTGGTCTTCTTCATTGTCTCTTCTATCAGTGATATTCGTTGTCGTCGACACAGTCTCGCTGAAGCTCAGGCTACAAACTTCAGACACTTCAGACATATTCTCCTCGTTCACATTCTTCAACTCTTCTTTCTTGGCCACGTTCTTGTTCAGCTGTTGCTGGAGCTGGTGATTTTCTTGGATCTTGGTGAAGACCGCTGGCTTCTGAATCTGATTGAGAAAGTTGTTTTCTTGTACTTCTTGTTTAATGTTGGTGGTGAAATTGGGGTCGGGTTTCGGTTTGACAGTGGTTTTAGGGATTTCGGAGAGAACTTCTTTCACGGTTTCTTCTTCCACTGACGGTGGAGGCGCTCTACTCTCGTGACTGAAAGCTTTCAACTTTGACGACTCATTAGATCCCACTTTCACGAGCTCGTCTTTCTTCGAAATTGAAGAAGCTTCACTGCTGACACAACAACCCATTTTCTTGTGTATGTAACAGCGATCTCCGTATACTCTACGACTACTAATGAGACATTGCCGAGTTAACGTGAAGAACGGGATATTTGACAGTCATTCAGCGGCGGAGGACGGTGGTTTACAGGCGGAGATATGGGCAAGTTTTGCTAAGAAATTAACAAGCGGGACAACTACAAGAACCAGAAGCGAGGCCGGGTAGTTAAGTAGATGTGAATGGAGTTTATTTATAAGGGAGGCGAAGTCAATGAAATGAATTTATTGTCAGATTTTGTACAAAATTTTATAAAAATAATTAATATAGTTTTACAAAGAACCCCCTAAATGGTAGTATTTTGTCATTTGAGTCCATACACAGTATTATTTTGGGAAATAATTGATTAATTTGGGGGTTTGGTAAATGGTGTCTTTTATCATTGATTTCATCTCTGACCCGTAGTCTGTAGTTTAATAATCGAGCGGTGCACGTTATTCTTTAGAATTTTGTGATGTTTACAGCCGTGAATACATGTGATGGAAGTGAGTGTTTATAAATTATATGATACGTCCAATCAGTATGGGCCGTCCATCAAGACGCAACACGTGTGTGGGGCTGGGCTCATCCGACGGTGAATATTGCTTTTACTACTACTACTGGTTGATAGGTAGACTAAGTCTAGAACAATGGACCAATGGGTATGTTTTACACATGTGGGTCCAAAAAGGCAGATGTCATTATAAATATGAATATTCCAATACGAGGCTAAATATCATATAAAAATTAACATGTGATAATTGGGCTGACTATGTTTTTAATTTATGACATGTGAGTTGTTAACATTTCGGTTTGAATAACGATTTCAAAATAATTTTTTAAAAATTGTTAATAATTTGAGATGCATATCTAACATACAAATTAATTATTATATATCTCAGAAAAATTATTAAAACCATGTGAATGGGATGGTTCTAATATTAATAGAAAATAATAGTAATAATTGTTGTGGGTAAAATATTTTTTTTGGTAGCTAAGGTGTCCGGACCAGCTTGCGTATACCTCAACTAAGTCTCGGGGTCCATTGAACATCCTACAAGTCCAAAAGACTGGGTAAATCACAATGGGTACGTTTGGTTCAGTATTTTGGATAGGATTTTAGGGAAAAGATTGGATAGTTAGATAGGGTTATGATTACGAGAATAGAATTTGTAGAATATGTGTTTGGTTGAGTATTTTGACCTTGATATTTGTGTTGAATATTTGATTAATATATTTTTTATAAATGATTTATTAATATAATATTTTGTTGAATTTTGTTAAAATAATGTATTATTATATATATAACTTATCAAGTTACATTTTAATAATACTAAATATTTTATTGGTAATTTTGTCACCCGTAGATATTAAGAAATAAAAACTCATTAATTTCAAGTACTAATCCAACTGTTTAAAAATATCATATTAATACATATATGATAAAAGTACTAATTATTAATCCTTACAATCATTTTTACACGTATACTTCATTAACAACTACGATATAGTCTAGTGTACTACCCACGATGCATTCGTTATGTTATCCTATACGCATGAAAAAGGAAGGCCGCAAACAAAATTAAAACGTGTCATAAGCTCATAAGCTGTCAAAAGAGAACGCGTAAAAAAGAGGAAGGCTGCAAAAAAACAATTCAAAAAAAGAGAACGTGTGAAAAAGAGGAAGGCTGCAAAAAAACAATTGAAATGGTCAAGCCGTCAGAAAAGTGTTGGAATAGATTTTTGAAGATCCTATTGTCTAAATATTCAACCAAACACCATCCTCAAAATCTGGGTCAAAATATGGATGAAAGTATTCATCCAAACGCAGCTTTAGTTATTGTGGTAAGTAGCCTCAAGGTTTGAACCTAAACACTCAAGGAAGGGAACAAACCTTCTTGACCGCCAGGCCAACCCATTGAGGTTGTTGTGGGTAAAATATTTCAGCTCCGAAGGGTGTGACATGTTGCTTATCTCCTAACAAGCAATGTCAAAGATTCTTATTGATCACCATGTTAACGATACTCTACTGATCATCCTATTAGTAGTATTTTGTTGATCGTCCTATCAACGATACTCTATTGATCATCCCATCAATATTGTTAATCGCCCTATTAGCACCACCAGAAAGGTGTGTTAATTGTCATTTACACTCATTACTTGCAATGGCAAGAAGACATCTCCAAATTAAAGTGTTATTAAGTCAAGTGTGTCTCGCGCCACTACACTTATTGCCATAACGACACCAGAACTTATGTTGTACAAAGGGAGCTAGAAAAGTGATCAATTCGTCGGTTGCCCTTCTCTACTATCCCTTATCACACCACGGGGATGTTTGACGCTTATCAATTCTCAATGGGCTTTTGCTTACACATTGCTTAAAGCACAAGTCTCCATCCTCCCATCTTACATTATACACATGTACGCAACCAATAGATGTAAAGTAGGTTTTGCCACCTCAGCATCGGTCTAGCTCGTGATTATTAGAGAATATTTGGTGGTCTTGCCCTAACGGTGCCGCATGTTGCGATCTAATGGGCCACTTGGCAACCAACCACCAAAACCCTAGTCATATATAAGAAAATAGTTTGTCTTGCAAGTAAAGTAATATTTATTTCCAAACTTGAGGGTTGTCCATCATTTTCTTCATTATTAAAAATTCTCTAGAATTTTAGTGAATCTATTACACCTCCATTTTTGACCTACTAAATTTTAGATGCCACTGTTCTCCCATTTTACGAGCTCTCCATTGTGACTCATGCTAACTTGAGTGTTGGAGAGCCTACGTTGACAAAACCCCTGCTGGCTTGGGCTACCAACCTCTTGTTTCCCCTTTTCCACCATTAACCATTGTTGGAGCTTCCTTGAAGTTGCAACGCCTAAAAAATTTATTCAGAACTTTGGAGAAGAAGGAATGAAAAGATGATCTTCTATGTTAGATCCAAACTCAAGGTTACTACTTGACCTCTACTATTGGTGCTATAAGGCGGTTTTCAACATCAACAATAGTAATAGAATATTTAATAATTATACTTCAATCAAACAATTTTTAGTAGAACTTTTTGTCCTGGTTATTTAAAAATTAAGAATTTAACTTGAATTTTAAATCACACAACTCAAATTTATTAGTTTGATAAAACTTTAAGAATAAGTATTGGTTTTCTTGTTTTTGTTTTTGTAATCATACATAATCCAATTCAATAAATGTTGTCATCCCAATCTTATTGAAGTTGTGTTTACTTGCGAATTGTATTGAAAGGAAAGGAAAAGGGAAAATGATAGATATTCAAATAGTAAATAAGGTGGATAATTATGATTCCATTGTTTACTTATAGATTGATATCTAGGGTAAAATGATATATGTTAAAGCTGAATACCTATACGGTTGTTCGTCATGTGGCACTTTGGAACTCATACAATTCTTTATTTTGACAAATAGGATTTGTGTTGCTATATGGTTGAATTTTATTATGTATGTTATAGAGGATATTATAATTGTGATTGGTATTCCAAATCCAAAAGTAAAGCATACCTATTTGTAAACCCCCCTCCAGTTAGTATCCTCATGAATCTCCCTCAATAAGAATCACAGGGTTACATGTCTGGAGAACGAGTTGTATTTAGAAAAAAAACATGTGTAAGATAATAATAATAATATCCAAAAATGCATATAAGATATCACGCAGGATCCAAACTTATAATTCTCAAAATCTTTAAGAATTTATCGGGAAATTACACAATCAAAACATATTATAGGGTGGAAGCTTCTAAAGGTGTTTCACAAACATTTATCATTTACATTATTTACATCAAGATAAAAACATCAAGATGACAATAAATCATCTCCCTTCACGTGTAGCCCCGCTGTCTCTGCATCCTTTGCTTTTGGTCTACCTGTAAATCAATCAACAATGAAAGGGTGACGGTAATCGCTCAATAAAGAATGTCAATTTCATTCTAAATGTGTTATTTGACCTTCATTTAAACATATTTGTTAACACATCACTCATCTTTTACATCTAGGTATACTTCCCTCCTCCCCCCCCCCCCCCCCTCTTTTTTTTTTTTTTTTTTTTTTCTAATTCATAGTTTTTCATCATTTTATCCCATGGTTATATAAACATCAATGCATACACATACAAATAAGTATGTAAACATAGTACACACACATTACATGTCATGATATAACATCTAATATCATCTAACATGAGTATAAATCATCTCATGATGTAAATAACTCATAACTCATGTAACGCAATTAAATGCATATGAAGCTTTTACGTGTAGCCAATCGGATTTTTCTTAGTGTCTTAAGCACTTTTATATCATCTAGCCTCAAATTCATCTAGAGCCATATCATCGAGGCGTGCTTACACGTTATTTAGCATATAAAACATATATTCATCTTTCCTCAACTAATATACGAGGATATGCTTACGCGTTCCCATCATGTCTATATGCAGCTCTAACATCTTATGGTATGTAAATACATATTTTAGTGAGCTTAATACTTTTAATTCATCTATGGATTATCAATCCATTTCATTACCTCTGCTCACATTCTACATCTTAAAACAGGTATACATTGCTCTTCATGCCATTTCATAATATAATCATGCATTGAAATCATGAGCATGTATATCTTAAGATCATCTAACTAATGGGTAAACATTAGTACATAGCTTAATCCCATCAATATATAATCAATTCATAATCATAAAATTAATTATGTTAAATCTTAAACTTTAATAACTAGAAGCTTATACTTCAAGCCATTTTCCATCCATTTGATAAACGAATTGGCTCTTGGCCTAAACATAAAAGTTGTAGGGCTATGTTTTAAATTTCTAGTGCTTCAAGAATCATCTCATTTCGATTTTTATAACTCAAGTGATAGTCGAATACTGAAGTATGTTTAACATAACCCCTAAGCTTACCAAATCCGAATTTTCATTATAAACTATGCCACATCAATTCCTATTGCAATTAACCAATAGGTCAACTTATGACCTCCCCTTAATAGTCTTTAACATCTTAAAAGAGTGTAAAATCTCATTCCCATAATCATCCTTATTTTTATAACATTGTAAGCTAATGCAAACAACACAT